TAGCTTCAATTAAATCAGTGGCAGTATCTGATGACAAGTCAACTTCTGTAACAAACTTCTGCTTTAATCTTCCCATTTCTCCAACAGATGGCTCTTTTTTTATTTCTCCTATAATATCTTGAAATAAAGAAGAGGAAACCCTCTTCAATTCATCCTCTAGTGGCTTACGGGCATTTATATCTATTATAAAACAAAGAAGAGTTAAAATTCTTGTCCAAAAAATACACAAACTATTTAAAAAATAATAAAATATTCAGGGGGGACCTTCCGGTGAGGGGACCTTCCGCATGTTTCCCAAAAATACACAATCTATTAGTACAAATATAGAAAACAATAGCATACCATTTAGTTTGTGCAGGATAAGATGTCTCCTTAAGGAAGATTGAGAGCTTAAACTCTTTAGGCAGACGTGACAAACATGGCCAGCACGAGGTCCTTCTTGACAGTCCTGTGGGCCAACGCTCTCTGCAACACCAGTCACATCGCTTACCTCCAGTGCAGTGGATCGATCTGAGGGAGGCATAGGGTCGACCCCGAGGGGTGAAAAGCTCCCCTGACAAACGTACACCCCTAATTCTCCCTGATTCAAACTAATTCAGAACAATTACATTTAATTCAACATAATTCAGAGGTAATTCAAACAAACTCAAAAATAATTCAACTAATTCAGTCCAATTCAAGGCAATTTCCATTCAATTCAAGGCAATTCAAGCCAATTCACGCTAATTCAGTGAAATAAAATCACAATAATTCAAACCAATTCAAAAACAATTCAACCAATTCACGCCAATTTAAATTCAATTCAAGCCAATTCAAGCCAATTCAAATCCAATTCTTGAAATTTGTACACCCAATGCAGGAGTTATCCACCCCTCGGTCGACCCTGACATCAGACGGCCCAACATCATCGAAGAAATGCTCCTCTGTACTCATTGCAGCCTGTGTGTCAAAACAAAATAGAAGTTAGATATGCCTTAACAAGCCTTCCACGAACATCAGACCCAAATAAGTGCATGAACAACATGTTGTCCTCCCCCAAAATCAAGAAACAATGCGGGTTCTTTTCTATACCATTTTAATTAATTGCAGACAAATAATCCACAGGGGGAATAGGCTACCATAACCTAGAGTGACAAAACATGAGTCGTTCGAAATTGTAACTCACCGATTAATCCGGAATAGTTTTGTTGTTGATAGAAACAGATATCGGGTGAAGATGGTCGTTTGGCGCGACGCACCGCCTCAAATAACAGGTGGAATCCCAGATACCAGGTGACCAACTCGGAATGGTGTTGATCAAAACACCAAACAAACCGAACGAGAGAAACGAGAGAAGCAGGCTCGTGACGTCATCGTCGCGCTGAGCGGGGCGAGCTTCGGGCCGGGGTCTCCGACTCGCCTGAGCCGTGTACTGAGTATTATATATTATGGATATTATGGATATTATGGGTATTATGGATATTATAGTATTATCGGGGATTATGAAGTATTATTAAGGATTATGGGTATTATTAAGTATTATGGATGTATTATGTCCCATATTACGCATTGAAAAATTACTTTCCAAGACTTTTTGAACAAATTATTAATTTTTCGAAATAAGCTTCCCA